GCTAAAACATATAAAGAGTGATTGCTAGAATTAGGCATGTCTAGTTTCATGAAAAGGAGGACTCGGGAGACACGATAGCAGAGTTCCATGAAGCAATGGATGGAAACTATTCAAGGAGAGAACCAACCTACAAGTCAAGAGAAATTTCCTGACAGTGAGAACAATTAATCAGTGGAATGACTTCCCTCCAGGAATTGTGGGTGCTCCAACACTGGAGGTGTTTATGAAGAAATTGGACAGCCATTTATGGAAAATGTTATAGGGCTTCCTGACTGAGAAGGGGGTTGGACTAGAAGACCTCCAAGATCCCTACCAACTCCGTTATTCCATTCCATTGTTCCCAAAGCTAAGATATGCACTAAGTTAAATGGCTGTGCGTCACACAAGTTCTAAATTTAGGTGAGAAAATGGGCAAATCTGAAAACTGATTTCACTAGAGACATATTTGGGGAAGTTTTGTCAAGTTCATTGATTCTGCAAAGCCTTCAGTGCCTTTCAGCAAAGTAATCCAACTTCTGAATCAACTGATCTATCGCTCTGTCTATCATTGATTGATCTACTAGTCTGAGCCATTGACTGAAAGGAAGAAAGCAAAGAAGAATAAATTCCCCGGGAAAGTCATTTCTCAGCCTTTGCAAAGCGGGAATGTTTGATCTCCTAATGGAGATATAAATCAGAGGATTGGAAGTTATTTTGTAGCCCAAAGTAACATGATTACATGCTCAACACAGCCACTCCTTTTGGATTTTAATAATCTGGTTTATTTTTTAATACAATTTGCAATTTTTGAACTACAGGTTGTAAATGAGGGTTTTTAAAAGTGGAAATGGAGCAATGTATTTATTTTTCATTAGCCTTGCACAATCCCGAGTCAAAGAATTATGCCCCCCTAAAAAGGAGGGGGGGGGTCTCTAGCAGTTCCTGCCACTGTGAAAAAGAAATTGCTTCTTGTAAACTACAAGTTGGAGGAGAACCTAGCAGAACAAGATAAGCAGAGGAAGCTATGCTGGCCAACAGTAACTTGAACCTGCTATCCTGCTCTCCATGTTGTAGAAGAACACAAAAATAATCCAGGCCAAACGAGGGGGGAAACAGAAGGAGAGAGCACTATGCATACCCGCCTCACTTGCTGAAGGGAGAATAGAAATCTAATATCATTCCCTTTCTTACTTGATTTGGAGGTTTAACCGCTGTTTCATTTCCCTCATAAAAATCAGAAAGCTTCATTCTTTGTTTCTCTGTAAGGAATAAATAATTTCAAAATGTATAATTAACAAAATAGGAGGAAGTGTTCTATAGGAGAGAAGAGAGAGGGAAGGTAAGACAGATGGGGAATCGGAGGATCTTCCATTACCTCCTGAGGTGTCCTGACTTGGATCTTCCCAAGGGATCCTCCTGAAAATTGGCTCCTGAGGGGGATTTGATGGATTCTTCTTTCCCTCAGGATCTCTGATCTCCACAGTACAGCACTTCAAATAAGAGGAAGAAAGAAAAAAGCAGAATTAATGTACATCACCAGAAATAAAGTGGATTCTAATACTTGGAACACCTCAAAGCCCCCAATATCCATCCATGTGGCTGTGTGAGAAAACAATGGAACAATGTCCCACCAGAACTGGAGAATTGCCATGAATTATGAACGTGGGAGAAGTTTGGGAAGGAGGGGTGAAGCATTCAAGCACTCCCTCTCTTTATTCCCTTCCAAGCTCCCTAAAGTCTCCCACCTGCCGCTGGAGTTGCTCCTTCTGCTCCTCTGCCTGGCTCAGGAGGAAGCCTTCCGCCAGGGCCACCGCCTGGGAGCTGCTCTCTGCTCCACACTCCCGCACCCAGCCCTCCATCTCTGGAGGCAGGAGAGCCAGGAGCCGCTCCAAAACCACCAGGTCCAGCATCTGGGCTTTGCTGTGCTTTTCTGGGCTCAGCCATCGCCTGCACAAATCATGGAGTCGGCTGCAAATTCCTCGGGGACCCTCAGCCTCTCGGTATTGGATGGAGGTCCAGGGCGGAACTTCTGAAGGGAGGATGGTTCCCTCCTGTAGGACCTTCTGCCCGGTTCTGGTCCAGCTTTCCCCACATCTCCCAGACTGAAGAGCCACAGGGCCTTTTCCGCTCCCTTCCTTGGCCAAAGGGGGTATCTCCATCCTTCCTCTCTCCGGCAGAGCAGCTCCATAGGGCTTCAGGGACTCTGGGGGGTCTCCAGGGGCCTCTTCCTTCTTGGGACCATTTCTGGGGCTGCAGGATGGATCCTTGCCGGTCCTTCCGCTCTCTTCCTTCCTTCCCTGCTTCCCCCGCAGGGCAAATCCTGGCTTGCAATGGCAGCCAATGGTGCACAGGTTCTGGATCTGGGAGGAAGACAAAAACCAACACCCAGGATCAGAAAGGGGGATTCAGCCCCTGGACCTCCTTCCTCAACCTGCCCCCAGCCCCAAGCGGCTCCTCCCAAAGCAGGGCCCAGGGTCCCCCAAGCAGGGCCGGGAAGGAGGGAGTTGTAGAGGCCTCCCCCCCAGCTTCTGTCTCCCTCCTTAGACAGGATCGGGCCCTCGTGGAACCCAGTGCGAATCCTGCCTCCTCCTCCTCCTCACCCTCCTGCTGGACCTCCGCCAGTTCTGCCCTCCCCTCACTTGGCATGGAGAGGGCAGCTGTGGTGCATGGGATCCAGAAGAGCCCCTCCTTCACCTGGGATACGTCTGAATGTCTCCCTGTAAGACTCTCCTGCTGCCTCTCCGCCTCCTGTGGCACCCCAGGGGTTGAGGAGAGCGAGTGCGGCATGCTAGAGAGGCAAGGCTCAGCGATGTGACTTCCTTCGCCGCCCCCTCTGGGAAGGCAGCCGTGATGTTCGCCCTCCAGTGGCCTAATGGGGGTAGCGCCTGGAGTTCTCTTGGCAGAGGGCACCTCCTGGTGGACTTGGAGGGTAGAAAGGGCAGGAAAGAAGAGCGTATGGGAGAGGGAAGGGAGAGGGCGGGATGATGGGCTTGGGAGTAGTGAGAAAGGCTCCTCTCCATGGCTCCCTGGCAAGGATTTTTGAGGCGGCTCTTTCTCCACCTTCCTCTCCAGGAACCTTCTCGGGGGTGGGGGGTGGATCCGAACTCTCCTCCCTCAGGAACCACAGCCCTGAGGGCTGCACAGAGATCGGAGGAGCCACCCCCCAGGCTCCCTGGGGGAAGGAGGGAGGGATGCCGGGAGGCTCCTGCATGGAGGAGGGGAAGGGGGCGAGGAATCTGAGGGAGGAGGAGGAGATTCTGGGCCTTTCACCTCAGAGTGACTCGCAGAGCTGCGACTCCCAGAACGGAGCCGCCGCTTCTCTGCGCCTGCCGCCCGAGGCAGGAGGAGTCCTTGGGCCGCCCCAGAGAAACAGGGAGTTCGACCGCCTCCCTGAAAGCCCTTCCAGGCTGGATCCCCTCGGAGGTTTCACCCCAGTCCCCTTTCCCCTCCCAGGGGGACCGACCGGGTCCCTTTCCACGAAACTGGCAGGACGGAGGGAGGGTGGAGAGACTTAAATATATTCGATTTCAATATATTTCATTTTCGATCATAACCTGTAAGCCGCCCAGTGTCTACTTGTAGGGGAGATATTATAGAACAAAACAACCGAAGGGACCTTGGAGGTCATGTAGTCCAACCCCCACCTTGGGCAGGAATCCCTTCAGACCATTTCAGACAAGAAAATGTAATATACATAAAGACAAATATCTAATACCTCCGTCTCTCTCTCTTCCCTTTGGCGGGGATATGGGAAGGGTGAACAATGAGACATCCAGATGGATTCTTCTGGGGTCTCCCAGCCCCTCCCTCCCCTCAACCCCACTTCCTCTGGTTACCCCCAACTTTTCCCCTCCCCCTAATCATCAGCCCTTCTTTGATCTGTGTTAGATTCAGACTTCTCTCCCTGCTCCCTGGAAAAGCAGTCCCAGAAGACCACCTGAAAAGGAGGGTCTCCACCCCCTTCACAAGAGGGATAGATCTGGGAGGCAAATTGAGGAGAGCAACTCTGAACTACCCCCACCTATTCATCAGTTCCCCCTGTGGCTCCCCTCCAAGTCCTGATCAGGCAATGGGGGATTATGGGGAGGGGGAGTTTTGGTCTCCTTCCCAAATTCACCCCCCCCCAGAAGGGATCGAGGCTCAAATCCTGCCTGACCTTCACAGCCTCAAGGGAAAAAACTAGAAGTTTTTGAAGCTTTTTCTTATGTTTTTGGTGGCATTTGTGGCTTCAGGTCTGAAAATCACTGTTTTTTGCTTTCGCTTTCCGCCTAGTTCCTCTTTGCAGGCAATGGGCTTTGGATCATGGTCTAAATCGGAGCCCAGAAGGTTCCACTCCCACTCAGTCACCGGTGGGGGGCAATGGGGGTCCGACTGCATCTCATCTCAGTTCGGCCACCTTCCCACGACCTCCCCTCCCCTCCAGAGTCACCAGGAAGGGAAGACAGCGATCCCTCTTTGTCCCCCTGGGCGAAGTGAGGCAAGGGAGGGAGCGGAGACCACATGGAGATCAAGGCTTCTCAGGCTCCCGCCTCTCTTGCTTCTACCTCTTTCCCTATTATGGGGGTCTCAGCCCCTTTCTTCCCCCTTGTCCTCCAGGAGACTTGATGGGCCCTCCCAGCTCCTCTCCTGCAACCTGCCCAGCCCCCCTCTTACCAGGGGTCTCCTTCCCCCCTTCACTTCCGGGAATCCACCCCAGCATCAGGGGGACCCCCGGAAGAGCCCATGGATGCCCCCCATAAACGCCCCCAAAGAGAGAGGAGGAAGAGGTGGAATCGGGGGTGGTGGTGGTCTTGGAGGGGGGGGCGTTTTCCTCAGATTTCAGAATTGGGAGTTGCCAGAAGGAGCAGAAAGGACCAATGGGATTCCTCCCTTCTGCAGCGTCATCGGTCTCTGGGCAGAGTCTCCCTGGACTTCAACCGCAAGAGGAGATAGTTCAGCGCAGAAAGAGAAGCTGAGAAAGTGGGAGGGGGGATCGTTTCAGTCTTGGGGGGCTGCGGCTCAAGTGGGGGGGTTCATGCCAGCCCTGGAAGGGAGTGTGGGATTCCTTTTGCCCCACACACACAGACACACACACACACATCCAGTGGGAGTGCCCCTCCCCCAACCTTTGGCTCCCTTCCTGGCAAAGGGGCTGCCCGAGGGTCGGTTTCACCCCCAGGGGTATAGGGTTTTCTGACCCACCGCAAATGGAAGGTCGGTTTTTGGTTCAAGAAAGGCAGTTTTTGATCTGAATGGGAGGGGGAAGAGGGGGGGAAGAGTGTGGAGGGGCCCTCCCTGTCAAGCTACTCTCCCAAAGCTCCAGAAGGCAGCAGGAGAAAGAAGGCAAGGAAACTGACCAAGGAGTTTCACTTCCTGACCAGGAGATCTGGTGACCTGAACGGTCCTCTAGTCCACCCCTCCATGCCCGCAGAGGAAAGTCTAGATGAGAAACCTGAAGAGAGCAAAGAAAGTGGAGGGTCCCTTCTGGGCCTGCTTGAACCCCCTTGAGCGGCCGCCCAAGACTGAAGGAATCCCTCTCCCACTTTCAGCTTCATTCTCTGCCTCCAAATGCTCTCCTCCAAGTGAAGTCACAAAGGACTCTGCCCGGAGACTGATGACGCTGCAGCAGGGATAAATTCTATTGGTGCTTCAGCTCATTCTGGCCCCTCCCAGCTCAAAAGTCAGAGAAAAACGTATCTTCCTCCTGACACACGCGCGCGTGCTCGCACACAAACGTGTTCATTAAACGTGAAGGTCGTGCCGTGGGAACAGCTGCCGCACTGGAGCCAGTGAGAAGTTGGGAGCCACACACAGATACCCCGCAATCTGAAAGGTTGCCCCGGAAAACCCTCCGCTAACCAGGGAAAGGCGCCCCTTCGCTTCAGGGGAGAAAAAGGCGATTCGCCTCCTTGAAAGACGTGTCAGGCATTTCCTGAGGTAAATCTCAAACAGCCCAGAGGAAAAAAAAAGTGGGGAAAAAGGGAAACGCCCCCTTTCACCCGCAGCAACCAATCAGAGGTGGGAATCCACCCTCCCTCAGCCACAACGGGTTGTTTGGGACCTTTGTGCGCTTTCCTTCTCCAGCCATAAAATGGGATATTTTCACATTTAAAGTGTTCAAAAAGACCCAAAATGACTTTGCTTTTGTCCATTAGATTGAATTGTCAGGCTGGAATGGGTTTTTTTTTAAATCTTGCACTCTGCTAAAAATAAATCAGCATCCGCCCCGCTTTCTTCTCTCTCTTGTACCTCAGTCTTTCTTTTCCCCTCTTTCTCCTTCCCTTAATTTCCTATTTCTATTTTTCTTTGTGTTTTGTATAATAAATAAATAAGATCTTAAGGCTGTAGTAAAAGAGCAGAGAAGAGCAACAAAGATGGAGGCTAAAAGATTTGCTGATGACAAAACAGTGATTGGTCTCATTCGAGACAACCGACGAATCCACATACAGACAGGAGATTATACAACTTGCCTCTTGGTGTAACTGAACAATCTGGAACTGAACACACTCAAAACCATAGAAATGGTGGTAGACTTCAGAAGAAACCCTCCCATACTACCACCTCTTACAATACTAGACAACACAGTATCAACAGTAGAGACCTTCAAATTTCTAGGTTCTATTATATCACATGACCTAAAATGAACACCTAACATCAAAAAAGTCATCAAAAAAGCACAACAAAGAATGTTTTTCTGCGCCAACTCAGAAAGCTCAAACTGCCCAAGGAGCTGCTGATCCAGTTCTACAGAGGAATGATTGAGTCTATCATCTGCACCCCTATAACTGTCTGGTTTGGTTCTGCAACCCATCAGGATAGACACACACTCCAGATGATAATTAGGACTGCAGAAAAAACACTTGCTACCAACCTGCCTTCAATCGACGACCTGTATACTGCAGGAGTCAAAAAGAGGGCTGTGAAAATATTTACAGACCCTTCACATCCCGGATATAAACTCTTTCAACTCCTTCCCTCAAAACAATGTTATAAAGCACTGCACACCAGAACTAAACACAAGAACAGTTTTTTCCCAAAAGCCATCACTCTGCTAACCAAGTAATTCCCTCAACACTGTCCAAATATTTATAAAATCTGTACTACTATTACTGTTAATCTTTTCACTCCTGATCACCCATCCCCGCCCACTTGTGATTGTAGGACTGTAACTTTGTCGCTTGTATACTTACGATTTATATTGACTGTTTCCTAGTATGATTTGATTGCTTATTATCCACTATTACTATCATTAAGTGTCGTACCTTATGATTCTTGACGAATGTATCTTTTCCTTTATGTATACTGAGAGTATTTACACCAAGTCAAATTCTTTGTGTGTCCAATCACACTTGTCCAATAAAGTATTCTATTCTATTCTATTCAAAAAAAAAAAACGGTTGCTGGAACTGGGTGTATCTGGTCTGAGGAAAAGAAGGACGAGGGGAGACATGGTGGCATCTTCCAACATCTCAGGGATTTCCACAAAGGTTTCTCTTCTCTCCTCCAGGCGCTTCCCCATTGGGCCACTGGAGGGCGAAAGTCACGGTTCCCTTCCCAGAGGAGGCGGGAAAGGAAGTGACATTACTAAGCCGTGTCTCTCTAGGACGCCGCACTCGCTCTCCTCAACCCCTGAGGCGCCGCAAGAGGCGGAGAGGATGCGGGACAGTCGGGAGGGGGGTGGAATATCCAGACATGTCCCGGGTGAGGGGCGGGGGGGGGGGCTCTTCTCGGGTCCCATGCTCCCCAGCCGCTCTCTAGGCGAACGGGGGAGAGGGGAGGGTGAGCCCGGCGAAAGCCCATCAGGAGAGAAGTTGGGCGAGAAGGAGGAGGAGGTGGTAGCATTCGCACCGGGCTCCCCGAGGGCCCGATCCTGTCTCCGTAAGGGGGAAAGAAGCAAGGCCGGGGCGGCCTCTCCAGCTGCCTCCAGCGCCTCCCGCAGAGCCGTCACCTTCTCCGCCGAAGGGGTGGGCGCGGCTGCTGGCTGGGCCGGCACCGGCTGCTCTTTCTCCTCGCTCGGCGCCTCCTCCTCCTCCTCCTTGGCCAGGGCTGGCGGTGCTGCAGACCCCTCGCCGCCCGCGGCAGACGCGGCCACTCCACTCGTACCGCCGCCGGGCTTTCTCCGCCGGGCCCGCCGGGCCGCCTCGCGCTCGTTGCGCGCCTGGAACCAGCGGAGCAGCGCCATCTCCAGCCTCAGGAAGCCCTGGAGCCGCTGCTGCTCCGCCTCCGAGAGCGCCGCGTCCCGGGCCAGCAGGGCGTCCCTGCCTCGGCGGGCCTCGCTCAGCTGCGTCCGGAACCGCTGCAGGTTCGGCTGGCCCAGGTTGACCTCCCAGCGCCAACGCGCCCGCACCGCCTCCGACACCCGCTCCGCCAGCAGAGCCTCCACCTCGGCCAGCCGCTCCGGGGAAACCTCCGCCGGAACCGCCATCGCCGGTGACGCCGCGCGGCCCCAAAACCGCTCCGGCCGCGCGAGCGCGCACGGCGACCCTGCTTGGCATGGGGCGGGGCGGGACCAACCCTGAGCCCCGCCCATCCCGCCTGGTGACTTTTGGTTTCCGCCCCCCCAACAGCCGCTTTCCCAGACTTCAACTCCCAGAATTCCCCTGTCAGCCTCCCCGAGGGCCTCTCGCCCCGCCTCTCGAATGTTCCGAACGCGGCGACACTCGAATAAAAGGTCTCCCGTAGCGCTGCTTCTCGCCACCGCCGTTCCCGTAATGAAAGCTATGCCGGAATCTTCTACACTTCTGGGCGGTCAAAAAAGTCAAAATAGCGACCCAAACGGTCTGCTGTCATCTGCCCAGCCTGAGAAACCGACTAAAATCTGAAATAAAAGGACCCCGGTGGTTCGTCCTTCATCCTGACTCGGTACGGGCGATTCTCCTCATGGGGCATCCGTCCCTTTCCCGCCCACTTTTCCTTCTTCCGCGCTTCTGGGCGCCTAGGTCAATTTTCGGGCCAATTTTACCTCAGGAAAGAATTCAGTATTATTCTGCCTCCCCTTCTCAAATCATCTTTCCCCACTCTATTCTGAGGTAACCTGAGGTAAAAACAAAAAGCAGGTAACTTTATAAAGGTCAGATATGGCATTACAGTACATACACAGCATATGAGGAAACTTTAAAGTTGGTAAAATGTGATATTATCAGCTTGAAGCAGGCCAAAGAGGTAGAAGGTGGGGAACAGCCGAGTTAAGCTCCCAGCCAGGAATCAAATTAGCTTTTATCTCGTTATTTGACAAGGATGGC